GTTGATTTGAGACATATATGACTATCTCTCTTTATCATTGCATTTACACGCATGTACTCTCCTAAATAAACTGAAACAAAGATGTCTCATGTCATTATTAAGCGAGACGCGATCGTGAAAACATGGCTACCGATGATAATGCCAGACCACATGCTGCTTTGGCGACTCGTCAGAAAATCGCAGAGCTAGGCTGGGAAAATCTGTCACACCCACCATACTCGCCAGATCTAGCACCCTCCGATTATCACTTGTTTCTCTCTTTGCAAAACTTTTTACAGGAAAAAAAAATCAAAACTGAAGCTGATGTCAACCAAGCACTAGTTGAGTTCTTCGTCTCTAAAAATAAATTATTTTTTAAAAATGGCATTTAGAAGTTGCCATCACGCTGGCAAGAAGTCATAAATAACGATGGAAAGTATATTCTACAATAAATATTATTAAATGTATGAAAATTGTGTTATATTTCAATTCAAAAACGGACAGAACTTTCCGGTAGACCTAATAATTATATACAGATAATTATATACTATAGTAGGTATTAACAATTTACTTGATATTTACGCTTTAACGTACAGAGATACATTTCGATTATCGTAACAATTATTAGAAGCTCAAACATTTACAATCGACTCTAAAATAATTACATTTGAACGCACACACTAACTTCGTTGTTCTCCAACGATGCCATCTTGACAGTCCTCGAAATTCTCGGACGCTTTTATTCTCAAACCATTTTCGTAACGATCAGCTTCTATTTCTCGCTTTTTCAATCGACAAAGTGAACCTCCAGCAAACGCGTTAACGTTTCCCGATGAAGGCGATACTGAATAGTGATCATAGGAAAGAAAAAGTATGCTTTCTAAAAGGTCATAATTAAGTTACAATTATACAGTTAACGATCGATCTATCAATTATTCTCCTCTCACGTTCCTCTCGGTCGAACGGAACCGTTTCCGCAGCTTCTTCCGATCACCTCGATCTCGCTTCCGCAGCTTCCTTCGATCGCGTCGATCTCTCTTCTGCAGGATCACCGGTCGCCATTTTTACATTTACATTTCTACATCGTTCTGCAGGCGATCGAAGAAGTCAAGCGAAAGTGAAACTCTTTGCACGCGACGAGGCTTGGGAACAAGAAAGCCAGGGGCAGAGAACATCTTATCTAAAACGTAATTTGTTTAAATAACCGACTTGCAACGTTCCGACTCGGTGGTCGGACATTGAAAGTTACTTACGTCGAATGGGACCCTAAAAACTGTTCGATAATATTTTCTGGTCTGCCTCGATACTTGTTTGGTAAACATTGAATTTCTTCTTCCGAGTTCCTTTATACTCTGGTTCTCACTTCTTGCTGAACGTTTAATATTTTTTATATCTGTATTATTTATTATTTATTATTATTTTTATTATTTATTATTATTTTTATTATTTATTATTATTTTTATTATTTTTTATTATTTTTATTATTTTTTATTATTTATTATTATTTTTGTTATTTTTATTATTTTTTATTATTTTTATTATTTTTTATTATTTATTATTATTTTTGTTATTTTTATTATTTTTATTATTTATTATTATTTTTTATTATTTATTATTATTTTTATTATTTTTATATTATTAACACTATGCCGTCCGGTGGCACCACGCTGGTACCATGCAGAAACTATCTGTTGTATGCCGGTGGTACCGCTTTGGTGCCATTTTAAAAAACTGAGATAACATTTGAACTATATTTCTTGGGTGTTAAAAGGCAGCAAACTAACTATAGCATTGTTGCTTATTTAACTAAGAATTAAGTACGAAAATTCTTGGATGACATATCTTAATTTTAGGAATTTATATTACCGCCATCTTCGAAATTTTTTTTAAAATCTAAAATTTCCAAGCTATTATGCCGGCGTCAAGAATCATATCTAAGATCTGCGGACGGCATAGTGTTAACATTTATATTATGTCAATTTGCTTACGCTTGCCTTTTGAATACGGAAAAGATAAAAACAAGGATTTTGAAAATTTGGAAGCTTTAATTGATTTATTGATCGAAACTAGGCTAATACCGATGAAAATTCCGACAAAGTCTTATTTATATGTTTATATGTTATATAACTGCGGACTTTATGCAATTACGACAGAAATGACCTAACTAAGCGCGGAGCACTGGAACATTCTACTACATTAAATCTTCTCCAATTGTTACTGAACATGTAAATAAAAATGCCGCGAGGCTCGAATAATCGTATTTCCTGTTCTCAAATTGTCCATTTCTGTTTACATGTTGAACGACAATTGGAGAGAATTCTCAACTCATTGGAATACTTAAGAAACGAAATAAATATTTATGTAGCTACCGTGTGCTTTACTTATCGTCGACAATTTTTATCTCTCATAGATATCCGCAGTATGGTCGCATACGAAATGTTTGAAATTTATAATTTATATCTCTATGAATTGTGCGATAACAAAAGCGAAGACAGTCCTAGACCTATTCGTTGGAAAATGTAAACGAATCGGGGAAAAAAATCATCGATATAAATGAAATAAAATCAAGTGCAGGTGTCCTATTGTCGCAACTCTGTTACTATAAATTATTAACCAATCCGAATGTTACTAGGATTTTTAGCGTACAAACGAGTTCAACTGATATTTCCAGTGGTAAATTTTATCTTTCTAGTTTCGTTTTCATTATTCAAGTGACTCTGACATTGTGGGAATGTTTGAGGTCGCTATTCGCCATTTTAAAGATAAGAACGACGAAATTATGGTTGTTACGAGCGACGTTTCGATTCAATGCCAGTGCCAGCGTACAACACGTGCCGATCGAGCCGAGCCGCTCGGCTGGCTTTTCCTGCAATTAAATGCGCGTTGCACGCTGGTCGGATGCTGGCCTGTACTTTCTTCTCGGCAGGCGAACTCGCCGCGATCACCTCGCTTTCGAGGTCAATGTCTAGGCTCGCCGTGACAACGAGAGACACAGGCTAATACACGAACGATTCGTATCTTACCGCCACGAATTTTTCACGGCCGTCCATCAGTCGGTGTCGTGCTGAACGTGCAATTACGCTTGTAAATATTAACGGTAGTGCACCGACGGATTATCTTGTCGGCGAGGACGAGGTAACTCCTCTGTTTTGCCGTTGCACTTTCTCAAAATCGACCGGAGTCCTTGCAGAAAAGTTTCTAGGTAAATGTGCTGTCGATCGGTGGTCCTCTTTCGCTTCAGATATTGTTTACACGTATATAAACGTTCGTCACGTCGTAAAAGTTTATATGATTGCATTTAGGAGAGCCTGTAGGATCATTCCAGATAGAAAACATTGTCACAGCTTTTATTGTTTGAGCTGTAAAAATCGTCGAAGTTGAAAAGTGCCTAACAAAGTAAAAGTGTTGTTGTTTTTGAATATTTTGTACAGTTATTTAAACATCATCGATGCTGTGAAAAACATATTGTTGCATTTGAAAGTGTTCATAGAGTCGTTTCACATAAAGAATATCTATGTAGTTTTTACGGTCGAGGCACAACAATTTCCGAAAGTTGAAGATTTTATTTTATTAGAAATGAAACAACATTGCATCGAATTCCGTGCATGATCCTGCGTGTTGAAATTCATCCGTAGGTTTATGCACGTTGTAAATGTGCAAGTATGCGCAGTGTAATTAAGGATATTTGTACAGTACGATGTTTGATGCGCAGAAGATGAACACCATCTTCGATGTTTTGTCGTTCGAAACAGAAGGATGAGTCTGAAAAGAAAAGTGTTCGGACGCCAGATTAACCATTTTACTTCAGCAGAAACAGCACCGCGTGAAACTGCTCTTTTTTTATTCAAGTAATTCCTCGGGTTTCTTTTTCTACAGTCATCGTAGATCGTTAGATCAACGGACTGTAATGATAACGAGACACAGCAATCTCGAGTGCATCACTTTCAGTCCGTGTAGAAAGCGAAATTTCTTTACGAAGCTGCGGCCATCTTGTATACGTATGTTTACGACTTGTGAATCTGCCGAAAATTATAATCGAGCAAATTTAATAGTTAAAAATTTAATAGTTTAAAATTTATACTTTTTATTTTAGTGGTTATTATACTAGTTATTATACTTTAATTATTATACTAGTTATTATATTTTACTTATCATACTTTAGTTATTATACTAGTTATCATACTTTAATTATTATACCAGTTATTATATTAGTTATTATACTAGTTATTGTATTTTAGTTATTATACAAGTTATCATACTATAGTTATTATACTAGTTATTATACTAGTTATTATACTTTAGTTATTATACTAGTTATTATACTTTAGTTATTATACTAGTCATTATACTAGTTATCATACTTTAATTATTATACCAGTTATTGTATTAGTTATTATACTAATTATTGTATTTTAGTTATTATACTAGTTATTATATTTTAGTTATTATACAAGTTATCATACTATAGTTATTATACTAGTTATTATATTTTAGTTATTATATACTACTTATTATACTTTAGTTATTAATATGCAGATCACTGAAACATCAAATAAATCATTTCCAGTTTTAAAGTAATGATAATTTGAAACTTCACAGTTATCTGTATCCGATTATATTTTCATACGAATGTTAAGAAGATCAGAAAGCATTTGTTTATTTCTTTATGTAGATATCTCTATCGCACATTCAAATGAAATATGCATCAAAATAAGAGATCCGGAATTTAGCTATGTACATGTCAAATCTTAGGTGAGAAATCCTATGTCGATTAATTCAAATTTTTTCCTCTGGTTCAATGACAAGATTATCTAGTATTGATAGTGATCTACCGTGCTTCGTTGCGTCTGTATCAGTGACGTGAAAATCTCCTTATCAGTCTCCTTATCGCCAAATAATAATTATAAACTCACCAGCGATCAACTTTTCCCTTTCAAAAATTCACGTATCGCGGCCCGATAAAATTTGCTTGGTAAATTTCCTCGATGGTCAAGCCTCGATATACGCTCGATCGATGAGTGTTGCAATGAACTGTGGCACTGTGCTTACTTGCGTCATACCTATGCATACGTCGGCTCCAAAAGATCGAACACCGAAGTCCAAATTATCGACAAATTTACACTACTATAACTTCGTAAAAAAGAATAATGCCACAATGAATCTGATCTGATTTTAAAGCCTAGAACGTCTACTTTCAGAACCCGTCATTCGTTTATAACAAGAATTTTGCTGTACGATATAACAGCCGAGAAACTGAAGACATGTTTTGCCTCGTAAATGCCTCAAATTGAAACTTCTCCAAAATCATCAAAATATTTTCTTCTTCACCGAAATTGACACCGATCGAAAGATTGGAGTCTCGTCTTTACAACGGACCCTCAAAACTTGAAGTATGATTACGTTTTACCATTTTACAGTCAAAAACACAGGCCCAGTTTAGGCATTCTAAGTTGTCGCAACGCGTCTTAAATTATCACATAGTTAGCATTCAAAGTTTCGTGAAACGCCTAAAACAAATCGTAGATCTAGTTCTGGGGTATCATTGCAAAGGGGAAACTTTACCCTTTAAATTTACATTAATTTCATCCAGAAAGAAAATTGTCGAAGGCATGAAAATCCCAGAAGAAAATCACCAGCGGACAGCTAAAACGGTGACATCGAGCTAGCAATTGCACAAAAGCTTGAATCAACGTTTGGGAAATCTTCGGCATGTCGAAATACTTTTCGAAGCCATCGTGCAGAGACGTGTTCCGTTATCGGTGCCGTTGTTATTTCTCAATTGCGCGCCGACTAATCGTTGTCGAACGATTTTGCAGCTAACGACCCGGTGAATTCCGATGATTACGATAGACACGGGCGTCGAGGCTCGCCGAGACGCCGCCGCCGATGTCGGAGAAAGGAAGTGCAACAACCACTCTCTAGCCGACAACTTTTCCCTTCGTTTCAGGCCTAACAGCGTTCGCGACGTGTATCGGGTGTCGTACCAGAGCTCGTCTCGCTCGCAGAAAAGCGGTTTCTCCCGCGGGACGATGTAAATCGCATTCCGGATACCGATCGAGCCACTGCCCATGCTGTCGCGATCGAGACTCGATCTTGGGACACAATCGTACATACATGATTCATACATACAATCTTTTGTCGAGTGATATTGATCCGGTGTCATTGCAAATGACAGCCCGATGGATGTAATTTTTGTGAAACGATTTTTTTCCGAACGATCTATAGAATCTTAAATTTGTTGCATTATCGAATGACAATTGATGGGGATGTTTTGTAGGTTCATGCTGTCGCGATGGAGACTCGATCTTGGGACACAATCGTACATACATGATTCATACATACAATCTTTTGTCGAGTGATATTGATCCGGTGTCATTGCAAATGACAGCCCGATATGGATGTAATTTTTGTTGAATGTAATTTTTGTGAAACGA